CCCCCCCCCGGACTGGTCAAAAGTGTACCTTGTACTCCTCGTCATTGTGGTCCGAGTTGGCTATTATTGAACAGTGTTCTGACAGGTTTTTTTTTTTTTTTCATAATCATCCTTGATGCAGGCCTCGCATTAGTGACGTCAGTCGTAGCGGCGGGTCACCGACAACAGAGTGCAAGGACTCGTGTTGACAACAAAAGCCCCAACAGCTGATAAGTTGGATCAGTGTGTGCTGACTGCTCTCAAATGTTCGTTGGACGCTGAGAGGAGAGGATCTTAAAAAAAAAAGTGGGATAAGTGCTTAAGGATAAAGAGAAGAGTGGCTAAAAGGAGGAGATTTGTTATTGTGTTCGTCTGTGTGGATCGTGTGACGATCGTCCTGGATCTTCGGAGCGGTAGTGCCTTCCCAGGAGCCAACACGGCGGGCAATTGCATGAGTCGATCGCTGGTCATGGGGCAGAAACTGTCCGGCGGCATGAAGCAGATTGCCAGAGAACCCCCCACAAGATGAGCCAACGGGAGCTCATCTACAGCGGCGATCTGGTCAAGCCCAATCGCCTGGACACCTTGCTGGACATGCCCCCAGTGGACAAAGAATTGCAGTACAAATATGCCTGGAACGAGGAGGACCGATCGCTCAACATTTTCGTCAAAGAGGATGACCCCTCGACATTTCACCGGCACCCGGTGGCACAGAGCACGGACTGCATTCGGGGGAAAGTGGGTTTCACCCGGGGACTGCACGTATTTGAGGTGTACTGGAACTCGCGGCAGCGCGGCACGCACGCCGTGGTGGGCGTTGCGACAGCCGACGCCCCGCTCCACTGCGTCGGGTACCAGTCGCTAGTCGGCAGCAACGCCGAATCCTGGGGTTGGGACATCTGTCGCAAAAAGGTCTTCCACGACGCCAAGCACAAAGCGGGCATGTCCTACCCGCTCTTGCCCAACTCGGACAATTTCCCCGTCCCGGACAAATTCTTGATGGTCTTGGACATGGACGAGGGAACGCTTAGTTTTATTGCCGATGGACAGTTTCTCGGTGTGGCATTCCGCGGCCTGAAGGGCAAAAGACTATTCCCCATCGTCAGCGCCGTCTGGGGACACTGTGAAATCTCAGTCAGGTACCTTGGAGGCCTTGAACGTGAGTATCTTTCAAATAAACGTTGATCTTAAAACAAGTGAATTCACTGACTGTTAAACATTGTTCAATCTCTCTTTGGGAAAACTGAAAATGTGAACAAAGAAAACAGATACTGATACTTTTGTGTAAACCATGAGTGTGACCCTTTGTTCCATAAGCCCTGTACAAATAAACAACTGAATTTCATCCTTTACAAACATGCATACTACATTATACATTCGCAACAGAAACATAAATTCACGGACATGTATATTCGTAGACAATGGTGGCACAGGAAAGTGGGGGAAAGTGAAATATCTTTCTGTAGAATTCTGGTAAATGTCCGGAAACAAAGACCTGTAATACCTAACCAAAGTGCCCTAGCTGTATAAATACCAGTATCGAGATATCGCACCTGGCTCTTAATCCAAGAAGGATTTTTGTGTATCATGAGAACGTGCAAAAGATCCTGTCCCTACCAGTGTATTTTTTTGCCAGTCTTTGTGCAAACTCAACATAATGTGCATTGTCGGTGCAGTGGCCTTGTCCCCAAACCAACAATAGGATGTTATGCCCTTCCCGTGTAGCGCCATTCTTTTTTTTCTGTGAAAAGATGACACGGCATCGTGTGCCTGTGTCCGTTTCCTCAGGGTTGGTCATTGTACTGTGAATGTCTGAAGGCAGCTGGTATCTGGGGGGGGGGGGGGGGGGGGGGGGGGGGGCTGATGGCGCACTGCCTTTGTTTAGTGGTGTGGGGGGGGGGGGGCTGTCCAAGACTATTGATAAAATGGATAAACAAGTACATTTGTACAGTGCTTAATCTCAAGACAATGCTGGACTATCAGTGTACAAACACAATACAATGATAAACAGTGCAATTGAATAGTTGTGTTGCAAAAACCACAGCAGAGCATTCTTCGCACACAGTGTAGAGCTCGGAACGGTAGCAACCCTCTCGCAACATTTCATCCCTCAATTTCTCAAGTTATGCAACAATAAAATAAACAAAATTTCTTGTTTTTCAAATAATCAGTTCAGCCCTTCCCAGAATTTTGTTGACAAAGAATTCTACATTTCTGTGGAATGTTACGAAACATTCATCGTGTTTGATTTTCTATGGTTTATGTTATTGTATTGCAACATGTCTTTATAATTTAACGAGCAAAACCACAATTGCAGGATTTGATTGGGGGGGGGGGGGGGGGACACACACACAGGAAACCTCAAAATTGCCAGTACATTGTATATTTTCCAGTTAGAGGGTTTATATTGTTGCCTAAAGTCTGCTTGTTACTGATGTTTTGTCCATCACAATTAATTATTTGTGATCAAAAACATCTTTCCAAATGTTTCTGAAATTCTCCCAAAGTCCACTGAGGGTTGCCTGTGGAGCCAGCCATGTATTACCTTCCCCCCAATCCTCTTGGGAGAACTTGACACGAGCGCATGTGTAACATCCCGGTCAATTTCCTGTTATATTCTTTCATGTTTTGAAATAATGGCATATGGCAGTGTACATGTCGAGCATGAATTCAAAAACGCTCTCCTTAATGCAAAAGGAAGCCCAAAAAATGCAGCATGTGAAATCCATTCCATTCTGGCGAAACAAACTCGTCCACATAAGTGATCTACACAGCTAAAAGTTGCCCTAGATTCTTAATTTCAAGGCCCCAAACCCAAGGGGTTGAATATTTGGAAATAATTCTTGACACACGATCTGTTTTCTGTATGTGTTGTTGATAAAGGAAGTTCGATGGCATAATAGTGCCAAGTGCAATTTCGTTCAAGCCAAGTCTAACTGCCGATGTATGTACTTCCGTAAACTGGAAAAAAGAATACGAATGAAACGATAATTGACCAAAGCCCCGTTGTTTCTTCACCTGTCCTATACAGCCTCACCCCTCCCTCTTCAAGACCTGTGCAGGCGAGGCATCCGGGTGTCGGTCGGCAAGGAAAACCTGGAAGACATCTACCAGCTACCACTGCCCTCCATGATGAAACGGTACATCCTCTACCAGTGAGCGCATCGTCACCAACAACCAGCCCTCCCAAGAACGAAGAGGAAGAAACACGTCCGTTGATGATCTGCCACCCAAGCTCCAGACTTTCTTAAATCTTTTTTAAAAAGAGAGAAAATTTCAAGATGAGAGCTGTTGGGAGAAGCCTGCCTTGCCTAAGAGAGTACTGTACTGAGGGTCGGTACTTTACTTATGTGTGTAAAAAAAAAACAGTGAACATGCTGCCATTTCTGCGGTCTGAATTTGGTTTTTTATTTAAAAAATTAAAGAAATGAAAAAAATAGGCAATTGACGATTCCGCTGCTGTGACAGAAATGTTTTGTCAATTTGATGAATTTAATTGTGGAACGCTGCGAAGCTGATAAAATCAAAGAGGGACTGTGTAGCAATCGCGAGAACGTGCAACTCAACTAATTAATTAAAAAGGGAAAATTCGGAAAAAAGATGAACAGCAACGGAGATTTGAGGTCAGGGGCTGTAAGGTGAAAGGCCATGAGGTTCTGGAAATCTCAAAGAAATCGAGTCTCCCAGTTGAGAGAATACTGTCTCCGGCCTTTGAGTATTTTGGTATTAAGTGCTTTTCTTGAGGCACTGTTGCCACGGCGACTGGCTCAAGAGATAACAGGTCCCTCCTCGAGGGATGAAGTCTTCAATAAGACTCTCCCCCCTCCTTCAGGGAAGAATGGATCAGGCCAAGAAACTGTGCACAGTATTGCGCATTCCCACAAGAGTGGACCAATGCATTTAGTATTGCTGGGGGGAGGTGCAGTATACCTCTAAAAAAAAAAGAGGACTCATTCCAAAAAAGACAGAAGAGGATATCCCAAAAAAGATTGTTCAAATTGAAGGGTGGGCCTCGGAGAATTGCAAATTGGGGTTTTCACAGGAAATTCTTTGCAGTTTTAAGCTCAAGATGAGTGATTTGCGTTTTCCCAGTTGCGATTGCGACGCAACTGTTTGGCCCGGGGCACTTCCGACATCATCCGCTTTTCAGGACTGATGGATGACACGAAACAAAATCTCCAATTTCTTACTGTTGTTACTTCCACCTAAAGTGCATTTCACAAAACTTGAGGTAATTCTTTTTTATACATGAAGGACTACACACAGGGTCTTAAGATTGTGTGACCAATTTCTAAATTTGTGATAGAGACTCGTTTGTCATTTCCGGATCAAAAACTAGAAATGGTTTTTTAAAACCACAAGCATTTTTTACTTTAAATTGTATCACTGTTGTCAAACCAGCAAGTTGCCTTTTTATGACTTAAATATAATTACCCAATCCCATTTAGTAAAAACTGAATAACATACACGCATCATTTATATATTGCATAATTTTTTTTAAACCATTTTCTAGTAAGCAACTTGAAATTTAAAAACCACCGTTTCATGAGAACAGTACTGTTAACAAATCTGTATATTGGAAAATACTGAAGCCTCAACAAGTCTGTAATGTTTTCCATCGACATTTAAAACAATCTTCTTAAGCAACTTGACTCCATTTAAAGGCTTTTGAGAGATTTAGCACATTGTAAGTTCATGTATTGTATTTGCATCACCAGTTAGTTTCCACGGTAACATATTCCATGAATCACATTTTTAATTTTAACTCGTTATGTTTTGATGTGTTTTAATGTGCATTGCCTGGTCAGTGTCAAACACAAACAGCTTTTTGTTGACCAGAGATGTTTCAGGGTTTTATGTTTCAGAAAACAAGTTTTTTTGTTGTTTTTTAAGTATTTATCAATGCAATTTTGATTTGTCAGTGTACTTCTTAAAAACGTGGTTTCAGCTTTAATCAATTTCAGTCGTGTGCCCTCAAGAAAATTATTAATACATGTATGCAGGGCCCAAGGGAAGGGAATGAATTTCTCGCTTAAAAGAATGGGAAAAATTTCAGTGCTAAATGCAGGGCACCAGACTTCATGACACGGTAGCCACCAGGGTTGGCACACACACATTTGAATGCGGCTGAAAGTGGGGCAACCAACCAAAATAGGCTGGCACCATCCTAGAAGCTGACATGTTAGGGTTACACCATTCACGAATGTCATTTAAGATATATATACAGCCGCATAACCAAACAAACAAAAACACCCAGTATTGGCATTTGTGCATGCGTATTCTTTTCAAAAAAATGTCATTTTTTGTACAAAAAAAAACATCTGAGGAATTATGCTCTGTAATAATATAAATTGTATTCGGGTATTGTAAAGGCGGAAAAAGAAGAAAAAAAGTCGTTGATGGAGTTGATTACATTATTGCTGTATACAGAATAATAACAATAATTAATGTATGAATATTTATATTTTGCCGTATTTATTCAATGAACTCGGAAGTGTTGGACAAGATGGAAAAGTGCTGCCGACCTTAAAACCTGAAATTCACATGTATTAAATTTGCTTTGCATATCACACACTAAAAAAAACAGAAAAAAAAGTATTTAAAAATGTTCCACTGTCTGTTTTTTATTCCAACTAGGTGCTACTAGTCTTGTCTGCAACTCAAGTGATATTATTTGTGTAACGAATTTAACTAAATTATTGGCGAGATCTTTGAATTTAAAAAAAGAACTCACAAATTGTGTTTTAAAGCGAAACAACTTAGCTGATGCAAGTATTGTTCTCAATGCATCACTGTGTGTGACACTGTAACATGTGCAATCATTGGAGACAAAACGTCTTCACAAATCTTGCTATGATAATATTTAACACATTTTTGGTCAGATTGTTTTTTAGAAAAAAACTTTCAAAAGTGTGTCTTTAACATACACAATTCAACGGTGATATCTTTTTGTCTTGAAAAATCAAATCATTTGGTACATTTTCACAGCTTCCAGATTACGATAAAGTACAGCCTTGAATTTAGAGAACAACTCACTTTGCCTTCATTAAGAAAATTAGATCCATTTGAAATTTGATTTGAGTAATTTCATATAAAGTTTGGCAAGCACAAGTATTGAACGAATTGTATTTTCAAGAAATTACATTCTCTTTTTAACTCTTGGATATGCCTAATGTACTGAAACAGCCAGACAAGACTACTTTTTACTAAGGCAATATTGTCAGACAAATACTGACAGTTCAATTTTTTGTACATTTACTGACATGACATCATGTGTTTAAAAGACTATAGAAACTGTTGTATATGTAGAATTTTTTTTAAACTGTCTTTAACACTGGAGGTGTGTGTGCGTAACCATGTATGTGATACATGTCAGCCTGTTTGACATGTGGGTGACTGTTTTCTCTGGTCAGATTTTCATCGTTCATTTGTTTTTTTCTTTAAAAAGTATTGACGGTTTTTAAGTGCTCAACTGTTGTGTCCATTTTTTAAAAAGACAAAAATATTTGTTAACAAAATTGTGTTTATTGTAATTAAAGTGTATGCCAAACCGATTTCTGTTCCACTTTAATATTAAAACACCTTTTGCAAATATTTTGAGAATCAAGTTGCTGTGTTCGTCTTGTGACATTTCTTCTGAACGTCTCGCCTGGCAAAATTGTGTCCACCCCTTCACAAAGGAAATGCAATTTTTCGAAGAATGAAAATATTGATGTACAAAATAGTACATTGTATCCTCGAGTCGCCATAATCGGCGCAGGTAACGCTTGCAACGCGCGCGCGTTGTCCAACGCAGATTGGACCTCTCTTTTAAGGGGGTCTGACGATATCTGCAGCTTAGGAAAGTGGTCCAAATTCCTGTTTTGAAATAAACCACAATTTTTTCTATAGATGCCTAAATGAATAAAAAAACCTTTGTGTAGAATGGCCCCTACTTAACCTTGCCAGACAAACTTGGGTTTTGCCTTCTTCTAGGTGGTGCAAAAAGAAGGAAACCCACTTTCGACAGCAATTTCACCTACTTGTTCAAGTATATTTCTAAAAGTCAATGTAATGGTATTTAAATATTGAACTTTAAACATGAGTGACGAAAAAATGATTGCAAATGCATATTTTGTCTCCCCGATATCTTAAAAATTCATGTGCCGAACCTGTTTGTCCACGGAAGGCTTTATTCCATCCGCTTGACTGAGCTCCAGAGCTTGATTTGAAGACAAAAAACACTAGACTAGATTTACACGTGGACAACAGTGATTTTTGGTGACTTGCACGTTGTATTCAACTTAGCACAATAACACTATTCTCGCGATTTTGAAGAGCTATACTACACTACATTATAACAAAAAAAATAACAGTTCAAATAAGTTAAGTAAGTAGCTTAAAATTCTTTTCAAAAGTGGTTTTCCTTCTTTTTGCACCACCCTGTATTAGCTTCAAGATTTCCTCCTAAAATAAAGATATCCAGGCCTGGCAGTTCAGGAAAAACAACAACAAAACAAAATGCTGAACGGTGTCCCATCCTGGATGAAAAGGATTCCCTGACATAGGGGGAAAACCGGTAATAACAACGCTTTTCCTGTGTATCCATATGGCCTAAAAATAGAACCACAATTATATATTCATATTCTTCCTTCTTTTGTTTGCCAAGTACTCGTTATCCCAAAGAATTTCCCCACCCTCAAATTTACCACCAAGCAATGAGTCAGAAAGGATAATATTCTTCTAGAATGAGCAAACACCCTTCAATTCATGGCGGATCTGTGATCCTCTTGTTTTTGAAGTTATAACAAGAAGTATCATCATAGGAACGTGCTGCGGAGGTTTAACAAATATGAAACATATACTCATGATTAAAATAGAATACTTGACAACATTAAATAGTTTCAAAACCTTCTCGAGTCTGTATACAATGACGCACAGCATTATGTTTTTCCTATTTACATGTATAAGCAGATTATCAAACGTACCAATTTATATTTTAGAGGTCGTTTGCCTTGTTATAACTTTGTTCACATTGAGGCACTTTTTCTGAGTATCACCCGTTATCCACGCAGCAAAGTATTGGCAACGTGTCTAGACATGCAGATATACGCAAGCCACGCGCCAGCCAATCGGAGTTGACTTTGCTAAATCGTGACGTCATTTCATTCCCAAATCAGGACTAAATGGTTTGATTGGTCAATTTGAATTCAGTGTTTTTGAAATACAACAGCCGGGCGCATATCGCGTCACATGATACAGTGTGACACCGTTTTTTTATCCATTGTCTATTAACTTCTCCGCGACCCAGTTGGCCCTGTAGATCTTCCGCTGCGGTGCAACGGGCGAATGACCGAAGACCCGATATAGAAAGCACCCGCTGATTGGTCAAAATCTAGGAGGTCTAGAGGCGGGGTCTTGCCTAATTAATCAGCGAATCTGCTCTCATATCATAGACCACGGCTTTCGCCACGGTCTATTACATAAACTACTTTCAGATAGCAATGAAGCTAAAATCGTAACAATAGTTAATTCTAAATACTAGTCTGAAATTGTCTGAACACCCATGCTTTTTCTCTCTATAAAACTAGAAAATGTTCTACAAAAAGAATTAGAAACTTTGGCAAAATATAAAATGGTATTCTTAGTTGTTAAAATAGATGACGTAACACAGGCGGCCTAAAGTCCTATTAAATCAGGTCTCCCATACGCTGGTTCGTAGCGTCTTCTTTTTTAATGAGGCAACTTTTGTGAACCTTTGTTATCATTTTGTTTCACACCCAACAGTTAAAAAAAAGACACCAAACCGCCTTATCAGCTGTGTGTGAAAAGGACCTTAAAGGAACAATTGTGTGCCAGCTGGAGTCTTTCTTCTTTAATGAAGGATTTACTGGCCGAAGCGGAAAGCCTCAGATTATCTCGGATAAGAAACCATAAACTCCATTGTGAACTTAACAAAGCAAAGGTCTTTAATAAGTTGTAGCCATAATCATCGACCTGCTACAGTAATGTTTGTCTTGCCATTAAAGGGGCAAACTGGCCAAGGATTATTCAAATGAGGAAAACCACAGATTACCATCTTTTTTCATGTTTTTTGTGCACTGTGGGACAAAATTTAACAGGCTTGTCTAATGTTTTTGTTTATTCCTGAGTTGCCGAACGACTGTATTCAAGTACACAGATACTGAGGTATAGCCATATCTCGACTCCAACTCAGTGGGCCAAGTAAACTTCGAGCTGAAAATTTTCCAATCGAATTTTATTGGTTTATTAAATTTCAGCCGAGAAACCAGTCACAGGCATTTTATGCATCACAGTTTCCTACCTCCATGGTATAATCGTTGGGTTTTTTTTGGCTCGGCAAGATTTTTCTGTTCTTAGCCAGTTTATACTATCTCCGGCTCCCTGAAGCTAACTGCCAATTAGTTTGTCTTAAGGTCTGTTGAAATCCCTCATTCATGTGAGAAAACTACGTTCAAATTCTATATACTTTAGCAGCCCAATGAACAAAGCATTAGAAATCTTTCAGATCTGTCCAGACCTCCAACAATGGTTCAAACTATAAAGAACCGTAGGCTAAACCTGAGGTCAAACTGAAATTGCAAATAGTGATGGTCAAATCTAGGTCACGGTGGCCCTGACATGCCATGTTATAGCAGGCCCATGACCCAACCAAGGCTGCATGTCTACATTGTGCGACATTGCCCCTAGGTTTGCACCTCAAACTCAAAGAAAAACAGAATTTATGATCTTAACAGTCAATACAGTTTGTGCATGAAACCATTAAAGTTCATATGGGCTATATTGTTGGGTTTCGAAAGCTATTATTTAAGGGAGTTTCAGTTTCATTAGGCAATTGATTGCTATGTCAAAGTATTTGATGTGGTTTGTAATATGAAGTTTGTGAACTTTGTGTTTTGCTTCTGTGTTATGAACAAATCCACTTGAAATAATAGAAATAATTTCGTCAAACCAAATTATTAACCCTCTCCCTGCAAAAGTGTATGAACAACATAAAATATTGGACCCAAGCCCACGGACTCCATCCCATATCACGGTGATCTCTTTTCTCTTGACATGTTTTCCCAGTTGGCATTGTACATACACATGCCGCATTTGATTGATGTATGTTTTGAATGCAGTTTGTACCTAGTCATATACCTATCACAAATCTCTAGTTCATCAAAAATGTAAGAGCTTGTCACCATGCAACATCATCACAGTCAACGTACATCAAGTTTGTTTCAGAGCCATATAGAAATACAACAATTAGCTATTCATCAGACCTTTAATAAAGTGCTTAAAACCCAGCCCAAGTCTCAGACAATTCCATCTTTTGTTGTGACTCAAATAGACGTTTATAATTGAAAGCTTTAGAAATGCAGTTGGACTGTCTTTGGACAATATTTGGCTATTGGCTTTTATATATTCTGCATGGCAACATGGGGTCAGGGTCATGTCTAATATGTTTAGCTGGTCTATTGTGTTCTAATCGAAACGCCAGAAGCATTAAAAGTTCACTGTGTGGATATAGTAAAACGCTTTGCCAACAAATTCAGTGTGTAAACCTCATGAGAACCGGTACTTAAGTTTGAAAAACATGAAAGCTGTGAAGAAGTCATTGAATTACTCCAGCAAAGCCGTGGGAACCTCTGAAAACAACAGTTTTGCAAAATGTAAAACGTACATCTTTAATTGATACTTTTCAATAAAAGCCCAATCAATAAGCCTACCCCCAAAAAAGTTGAAACACTACCTCAAATAAATTTGCTGTCGTTCAAATTCTTCTTTGCCAAAATAATTTTAAGATTCAATAAATTAAGAACAATTTACTGAAGCGGGATTCGAACCTTCAACCTCTAGAATACAGTACCGGTGCTCTAGTAAATGCAGACCCTAAAAAAACTTGGTAAATTATCATACTGTACACAAGAAGCATCAATTACGTAACTCAGAAATTTGAAGACAATTTATTTAACCTTTTCATCTGGACAAATCTGTTGAGTCAACTTTAAAAGTGAAAAAAAAAATAAAGTGATGGAATAGCAAATCAGTTTGCACCGTAAACTGTGTGAACGGACTAGCTCTGAAAAGCTTGCTACTCTTAACATTTTTAATGGTCCATAAGCAAGCATGCAATTTCTTTGTCATGAAAAAAAAAAACCAGTTGAACTAACTCAATGCCGTACAATTAAGCTCTGCAGCAACCTCCCAAAATCTGACCCCAATTTCACCCACCACTGCAATGCATGCTGAGGTCATACAAATAAGTTTTTTAAAAAATGCTAAAAATAACCGGGACTATAAAAACATGGCTACTGCAGGTCAGGGTTAACCAGGTGTGAAGTGGGACTTAATATGACTGGACAATTGCCGCGAAGTATTTGGTTAAATTTCAGTATTCATTGTGGATTGACCTCTGCATTCGGCTAACATAATTTTGTCCTTTCACAACCGCCTGTATACAGCATTTTAGTAACCCAGACTGCTGCAATTAAGATGTGTTATACCATATAACATTTCAGGGAGTACTGATATATTGCTAACAGATAAATTAAGTTCATACCTCTGGTTCTTTTCCGAACCATTCTCTTAGATTTGAGAAATTATTCCCACATGGTGTTTCCG